TATTTGGGCACTCTGTGTCTCTAATACATGATAGAAAAGCATTATTTTTCACAATCAGATTCAATTATCATATCAAGATTCTGTGTTACTTGCTCTCCTCTTTACCCTACCTCTCCACTTATGAATTTTATGACCTTAGGCAAATTACAGAACCCTGCTGGCCTCAAATTCTAGCCATCACCAATGAAGAATAATAATAACAGTGTCCGTTGCATAGCTTTGTTGTAAATAGTAAATAAGACTTCTATTTCTACTCAGGCATATGAGCAGCCTGAAAGTTCTACTCCAACCCAACAATGAGCTAGAAAAAAAAAAAAAAGAAAGCTGAATAAACTCAAAATCAATTATTCTTTTTAGATCTGTGGGAGAAGAGAGATCATAGAAAGAACCAATGCTCCCAATATGGAGAGATCAGCAGAAGAGCAGAAAGAATGAAGACTTAACAGAGTAGAAACCCTAAGGTGGCACTCTCAATGGGAATCTGGGACAAATGGAGGGAAATCCGAACTACAACTGGCAAATTGCCACAGTCTCGGGGAAGACAAGTCGTAGAGGCTAAAACTCCGAAGGTACCAGGTCACTGGGGCAGCCCCCACACTCCTGTGAGCTTGACTTGCCAGAGTTCCACCAGCTCCTCACAGCAACTATGAAAAAAAAAAAAACAAAACAAAACACCTTGCACTTCCAGCAAGAGAAGAGGGAAAATCATTTTTAAATGTTCTGAAGCTATCTGTTCTTAATTAGGTCTGCTTTTAGGAGAAAGCGTCCAACCATAGCCTCAGCTGCAGGGGTTTTGTGAACCTAACTAAGCTGGGGGAAGGGAAATGCCCAACTCCAACTTGCCCCAGCCAACTGTCCTACTTAAGGTGAAGGATGGAACTGAGGAGCACTGCGGAAGTTCAAATCCCAGGGGTGCAGGCATGTTGAAAGACTGAGGCCAAATCATAGGCAAGGGAATCATTCCCCTGCCAAACTCCACCCCAACATGACCAAAGGCCTAAGCACAGCAGTTGCTTTCACCCAGTTCATCACATTCTGGTAAGCATAAGAGATAAAAACAAAGTTTGAAAAGACAACAAGATCCTCACAGCCAGACTCAGATATTGTAGAGAATCTGGAATCATTGTGTCAGGAACTAAAAACAATTAAAATCAATATGCTAATGGTGATAAGAGATGAAGTTACCAAGATCAAAAGCAAACAGGCAATGGAAGACAAAAGATGAAAATTCTAAGAAACAACAAAAGAATCCTGGAAATGAGAAACACTGTAACAGAAATAAATAGAATTTGTGATGAAGTGATTAGGACCCTAGATAGATAGAGCTGAGCAAAGAATCTCTAAGAATGAGGCCATCCAAATAGAAAGAAATGGAGATATTTCATAATCATGATTAAAAGGACAATGTTAGCAAGATGTCAGATAACTCCAACTTCATTTACAGGGTCAGTTCAAACCCTGTCAGAATCACAGAAAGATATCAACAAACTGGCCTGACACACGTACTTGCAGCAGGTGCAAGGGAGCACAGCCAAGCCTCCCAACCTGGAACTTCCACACTGCTAGCTGCTTAAACGTGGCTGGTGCCATCTTAGGTTGGGTGACCAGGGTGCCAGTGGTGCCAAGTGAAGCCTCCTGGCCACCTCTTGACAAGCTCTGGGAACATGTGGGTGTGGACCAATAAGGGGTCCGGTGGATGGCACAGGTGGGGGCGTGTACAAACCTGAGAGTTCATGTCCAGGTGAGGAAGGACTTCCAAGGGACTTCCATGGACACGGCCACTGTTCCAGAAGGTATGCAAGGGTGCTGAGACGGGGTTGTTTGGAGCAGGGAACAAGAGGACCTTTATGGGTCAGACTGAACTACCAGTTCACCTGGGTGGCCTGAACTGAGGAAGCTGGCTTCTACCATCACCAAATACAATTCACAGGCACATACTGAGGCTGGGATGGGAGCCTACCAGGCAGAGCTGGATAAAGGTGCCCACCAGGGAGAGTAGGAACAGTGAATAGATCATGTGTGGCTCAGCCATGACACTAAGCAGCATGTGAGTGAATCAGGACTGGAGGCAGAACTTTTGGGGGCATATGGGTGCTCACTCCTGTGGGACAATAATCTCCATCATCATCTGCAAGAGCTGTGGCTAGGAACAGGCCTGGTTGGGGAGCCAAGGAGATGCCACAGATGGGTTGGAGTTCCAACTAGTTAGCACTAGAGTCAGAATGGGGGCAATGGTCTAGGCTGGACGTGGCTGCAATCTCCCTCAGCATGGGTGTGGACGGGGTCTGGGGAGTACCAGACTGGGCTAGACTCCAGCATTCATTGGTACACATGAATGAGAGCCATCATCGGTTCAGAACACACAGTGCTATTGGTGAAACCCACAAACTCATCTACCGAATAGAATAGACAGTCCAGAAACAGACCCACATAAGTATGGCCAACTGACTGGACGAAAGCATAAAGGCAACAAGCGGTGCTATAAAGACAGTCTTTAAAAAGTGATGCTTTAGCAACTGGACAATCACACATTGCAAAGATAAATAAATCTAGCCACAGATTTTATACTCTTCACACATAGCACACAGACCCAAATGGAAAATGCAAATTTAGAAAAGTTATAAAAGATAACACAGGAAAAAAAGCTGGTATAGCCTACTGTTTGGTGATGAGTTTTATTTTTTTACATTTTTTATAAAGATCTGTTTATTTTATTGGAAAGACACATTTACAGAGAGAAGGAGAGACAGAGGCAGAGAGAGGTCCTCCTGGAATATGAACTGGAATCCATATGAGAGACTAGCACTTGAAGGTGGAGGATTAGTCAGTTGAGCCATTGCACCAGCCCCAAGTGATGAGTTTTAGATACAACATCCAAAGGCACAAACCATGAAAAAAAATGATAAGCTTTACTTTATTAAAATAATGATTTCACCCTATGAAAGACACTGTCAATGAAAATTAAAACAACAAAGAGGTACTACTACACCTTTTAGCACAGCCAAAATCCAGCACACTGTTAAGGCAAAATTTAAAAAGCAGCTGTTGGAAGATCTCTGTCTCTCCCTCTCATAAGAGTGAGCAGAAAGCTCAAAACAATAGCTACCCAATGGCCCAGGGAATAAGTGCTCCGGTTGGCTATATAAGAAAGATTCAGAAAATTCACAAAAGGGGCTAACCCTCTGCCTGGGGCACTCATGCCACAGTGCATGTGTTTGAGTCCTGGCTCCACTTCTGATTCCAGGTTCCTGTTAACGTGCAACCTTGAGAGGCAGCAGGTGAGGGCAGGCCCCCAACATGCATGTGGGAGGCCTGGATTGAGTTCTGGGCTCTTGGTTTTGGCCTGGCCCAGCCTCAAGTATTGTAGGCATGTGGGAAGTGAAACAGCAGACAGGAGCTCTCTCTCTTTCAAGCAAATAAAATAAATATTTTTAGAAGTTCATTGAAATGTCTATTATGAAAAAAACTACACATGGAATTAAAAATTGGTTTTGCCTAAACATTCTTATCTTCTTGAAGTATCCTTTATAGGGGTCCAGTAGGAAAATCGGGGAGAGGGGCTGCAATGATGTGTTTGAGTATACAGAAAATATATTACATGTGTGACACAGACATTAGGGGGGTTCAAGAAAAATAGTGATAGATACTTGTCAAAATAAAAGAGAATGCAATAGCAACTCCAGGTAAAAACAAAGGGCTACACAAGAGAAGCCATGGATATATCTCATTATTGGTTCAACAGTGAAGATTATTTGTTTGCATCATAACATTTTAAACCTTAATCACTGTTAACAAATATTGTCAAATAACTTTATTGAGGGGTTGAAGGGAAAGGAAAGGAATTATGTGAAAGTTGAAAGATCCAATATCTTACCCTTAAGTCCATAAATAAAAAAAATTAGTAAATATTTATTTAAGAATACAAGAGAAAATGTCAGAAAAAAGCCAGAAATGTTGTTGTACAAAATAAACACATAAAAGTTAGAAACACATAAATTTATTTTATGCCTTTCAAATTTTAAGTGTGCTATATCAATATAAAGAAAAATTTAACATTAAAATTAAAAATTTTAAATCGCTGATTAAAAATCATAAGACCAGAGGTTATAAAAACAAAACACAAATAGATAACCAGCCTCAAAGTCAGTGAACATAACCCTTCTCAGCCACTGAAACTTTACACGTGCATAAAAGCAGGCTTTCCTCTCCCTTTGTAACTCACCACTTCAAAACTTAGTCATCTAACTATAAGTGCTTTGATGTAACAGATTACAAAACATCTGATGATCTTATAACTTCTCTGATTTATCACAGAAACAAACAGAAGATAACTTCCTCTGCTAATATTTGCATAACTGATCAAAACCTTAATCTCTCTACTTCTCAGCTTTTGGTAAAGGAAGTCTACATAAATCACCTTAGTCTAATCAGGTTAATAGCCAGCATTTCTTATGCTAATATTAAATATCCGAACTACTTTTTTTCTTCCAATAAAGTGAGAGACAGAATTGGCTTCACCCTTAAAAAAAAAAACAAACTTGAAGATGAATAGAATATATAGAATATATGGGAGTACTTCAAAAAGCTTAGAGAAATATATAATTAGATGATAAATTTTAGTACAAATATATTTGAATTCCATGCATATTTTTCATAATATGCATTTCCCACAAACTGAAGCCTATTGATTTTATCCAGTTCTGTATCTAAAATATTTTTACTAAAATATTTCTAATGTTCTCACATTTCCCTTGGAAGTCTGGATCTTATCTAAAACAAGCCACATACACTCCATTAGTTTAAAGTCTTCCTGACATAGACATATTTAAAGTCATGAATAATGAAGTTGGTACTATTCAAACACATGCACTCAAGGTTAGTAATCTCTAATGAGTAGATATCTAATCAAACTGTTGACTGTGGTTTATTTTTACAGGTAGACAAACTGATTTAATAAAACCCAATTCAAACACAGCATTAAGGAAAAGCGATTTGTTTACCTCTGTTGGTTTGTAGCAGTCTACGAGAGCTTCCTAGAATTAAACACACAGAAGGTCAGTTTTATTGCTTTACACTTCAGGTTCATTTTAAAAATCAAACTGAAAATCATTTATCTTTGTGGTACTCCTCTTCCAGCAGTAAATCATGATTTCTTATTGACCTTCTAGAATCACACTTCATGTCAGCTGGTCATCTGAAGACCAAAAAAAGCCTTCAATATGCAGCAACGCTTTGTTCTCCAGAGCAATACACACACACACCAGCCAGAATATTTTTTTCATCAGAAAGTATTTCTTTTTCATGCTACCACAGTGCTCAAGGCAAACTATAACCCTTGACAGGGTTACCAATAACTCATTGAGGAAAAGAGAGCTTACTTCAACGAAGAAGCGGTGCAGTAAAGGCTCTGTTGGGCCGTAGTCTGCAGGAAGCTGGGGACTGACTCAGTGGGTGCTGGCCCAGCACAGCCTCCAGCAGCAAATGAGCCCCACAGCCCCTCCATGTAGGCCAGAGGGACCCAAACAGTTTCAAACCTATCACCTGCTCAATGACTTTTTACCCTCCTTATGCATACACATGGGCATGCACACTCCTTTCCTTTGGGATTGCCAACTTGGTTAATACTAAACTGCCTGCACTTGAAGTTGAGACAGGCTGGTGAGTGTGACGATCACAGCGCTCACAGAGAAAGGGGTTTGACTGTGAGTTAGCCACAGACCAGCTTGGCACACAGCCTTCATGGGCTTCAGTGTTCTCAGCTGGGAACCCAGCAGGTAAGCTGAGGCCTGCTGGAAAGCCCTTTCCACACTCTCAGTTTTAAGGGGAAAAAAATGAATATATTCTATATTTTACATGTGATTGGTAAATGCTTTACCCCTGTCAACTTTAACTTTTATGACTATACTGTCATTTTCTCCCATCTAAATCTACAACAATAATCGTTAAAATGAAGGCTGCTCACCACCAAAGGGACACTAGTAATTACTAATGCATGAAACATTAATAATTAAAAAGGGTCCTTTGATTACCTTGGTGACCATTTACTTCTGGCACTAACCAACCAGTCATTCACAGTAATTACCGGTGACCACCAAGAGCAATGGCAAAGATGAAATGCTTTTAGAAATTACAAAAATGCAGTTTTAAATGATAGATTTGACCTCCTGTGGGAAGGGAAGTATTTTATTTGTCTACTAAGGAAACATTAAACATCCAAGCCTCCGTCATTGTATTAACGTGCTAAAAGATGAGTAGGGTCTATGAAAGATATTTTATCACAAAGGATTATGTCATACAGAGTCTTACCCACACCTTGACACCAAGAAACCTAAGCTTAGAGATCTCAGTCCCAGCTTGGTCTCTCCCCTTTGCAAGCAACTGTGGGGCATCACTGCTCTCCAGACAGAATGAGGCTGGAGACTCTCAGCCCCAGCAGGTGCTTGGAACTGGCTGCATCACGAGCTACTGTGCCATCAGAGATACAGTGTATGAGAGTGAAGAAGCAGGACCTGCCATGGTTTGCAGGAGGTTCAAGCGCATCTCGCAAGGTGCCATGCGTTGAAAGCTCTGTCCTCAAGGTGGTGATGTTGGGAAGTGGGACTTTGAGAAGTAGGGCCTAGTGAGAGGCTCTTAGGCCAGATGGGGTACCCCCACAGCAGAGACTGTAGAACCTGACTTAATAGCTTCCTGCTTCAAACTATGATGCTCTCCTCTGTGTACCCCTCAGCAAAGCTCAGCCAGACCAGAGAGGTGATCTGGATCAGTCTTTCGCTTTATGTGATTATTCTGCCTCAAGCATTTTATTACAGCAATGAAAGCAGACTAACACAGCACAATGCATTGGCTTCCTCTCTGCCAAGGGCCGTGGCCCAAATCCTAGAGCCAACACTCACTGTCACAGGGCAGAACTGGCTTACACCAAGCTCTGAAGTGAATGTAAGCACATATATTAAGAAGGTTTTAGATGCTGGAAGCTGCTTACCTGTAATTTTAAAGCCCTCTCTTCCTCACTGTCTGCATCAAGAAGATCGTCAATGTCGATTTCTACATCTGGCATTTCTTCTTCCTGTGAAGGGCAAATATAAAAGTAATTTTATTTAGAGAGAAACCATGTCAAATTAGTTGAGTAAAATAAGCAACTAAATTATCAACCAAGAGGGCATGACAGGGAAGAAGTGCAAAAGAGAGGAGAGAGGAAGTAGTCACAGGAGAGAGGGCAAAGAGGAGAAATTAGGAGAGCAGAGGAGAGGGGAGGGGAGGGGGGACGGGGAGGGAAGAGGAGGAGAGGAGAGGAGAGGAGAAGGAAGAGAGAAGAGGGGGAGGGAGGAGAGGAGAAGGGGAAAGACATGAGGGGAGGGGAGGGGAAGTCGGGAGGGGAGGGAGGAGAGGAGAAGGGGAAAGGGAGGGGAGGGGAGGGGAAGGGAGTGGAGGGGAACAGAGGGGAGGGAGGAAAGGGGAGGGGAGGGGAGCAGAGGGGAGGGAGGAGAGGGGAGGGGAGGGGAGCAGAGGGGAGGGAGCAGAGGGGAGGGGAGGGGAAGGAAGGGAGCAGAGGAGAAGAGAGGAGACAAGCTGGGATGACACAGGAGGGAAATAAGGAGGGGTGAGCAGAAGAGAAGAAAGTGTGATAATGCAGTTTAAAGAAGTATTTCACAAACAATCATCTTCCACTTAATACCAGAAAATAACACCTGTCAGTTAGATGGAGGTTGGCAGACCCTCTCTCCCTCCTCCTTCTGTCTCTCCATCTTTTGTCACTCTGTCTTTCACACCCACAAACACATAAATCTTCAAACTCAATTTTTAAAATAGGATTTTTTAAAGTCCCTAGTACCCCACCTGAGTACTTGGGCTAATCTGCAGCTCTCGCCCTTGCCCCCAGCTTTCTGCCTCTGCAGACTCAGGCACACGGGGGTGTGAGGCTTCAGTACCCACATTCCTGCCACCCATGTGGGGTATCTAAATGCAGTTTTCACTTCTTATCTTCAGCCTTTGTAGGCATCTGGGGAGTGCACCAGCAGACAGGAGCTCTTGCAGTCTGAGTGTCTCTCTGTGTCTATCCCTCAGTCTCTCTGCCTTTAAATAATACATATTTTAGGTGTAATAGCAAATATCCACACTTTATACTGTTGACCAGTAGGTTAAATTAGTTCACTGATGTGAAATTTTCAGCATAGTACCTAGCACAAAGCTAAGATTTCCTGAACTCTGATTACTAGTACTATAATCCTTTTCTTACAACAGAATTTTTAAAACAGAAAGACAAACAAATATTATGAAGACAGGGCAGCTTGAACATCCTTAGTCTTATAAGAATTAACATCTCAAAGGATTACAATACTAACAAAAGATAGCAGGAGATTAAAAAAAAAAAAGAAGAAGAAGTACCCCTCAGAAAACTCTAAAGCCCAAGAACGGGACAGCTAACTGTTTTTTTTGCTGAAAGTAACAGCAGTAAGAATAAAGTTACCATATAAACACCTGGCTCCCAGGATACCGTGGCGGTAGGGAGGCTGTGCCCTGGCTATGAGAACGGCTGAGGGCACCTGTCTTTGCCCTGGATCTGTGTGGGCCAATGAATACAGGTGGTTTACAACATCACTGCATTCTGATTGGATGTTGCTGAGCTGCTGTGGTTTTTCCCTCCTTCACCAGAATCCCTGCACCCCACCATCTCTATACAGCCAAGTCAGATTATCAGATGGGTCCACAGAAGCTCTTGCCAGTGGAAGGCCACTTACAACCTTTTAGGACAGGGCAGGGCTGCACAGGGCAGGAGGTGGGTACATCTGTGCCTGGAGGTCACACTGCTGGGAATGTGGGTGCTGCTTGCCTCTCAGCCCTCGCCCCCAGCCACTGCCACTTGCCCTCTACCTCTCAGGTCCTGCTGCTCTCTGTGCCCAGCCTCCTCATTCCATGCGTTTGAAATCACCTCTGCAAGGACAGTGAGGTGTGGGAGCAGGGCATCTATTAGGACCACAAAAGAGAGCAGCAGGCAGAGCTGCCAGGTACACTCCAAAGACAGGGGCATCACCCCAGGGCTTGCCAGAGTTCCCTTAGCAAAGGATTGGTGGGGACTCCAACACCTGCACAGAAGGCTATCAACAGGAACCCAGAGTGCCAGGTGGAGGTAGAGCAGCGGTTCCCCACGGCAGGGAACCCACGCAGAGTCTCCCTAGGCCAGTGGGGGGCCAGCCCCCGAAGAGCTGTGTTGTGCCTGGCAGCATCTCTGGGAAATGCAGAGATCTATCCAGTTGCATTCACAGCTTGGTGTGACTTTCATAGCTACCTTATAAGGCCACAACACCCCCGCCTGTTCCAGCTGACTCAGGTCATAAAACAGATTAATCCACAAGGTGCAATCCACGGAAAGGTCTACACAGCATCACCTCACACCCAAGCATGGCCCTTCAGTTCAGTGTCCTTTGTGGAAACAAAGAATCTGCTACAAAAGCAAGTCAAGAAAACTGGTTCAAAAAAATCTGCTTGGGCCCGGCACAGTGGCGCAAGTGGTTAAGGTCCTCGCCTTGCACGCCCGGGATCCCATATGGGCGCCGGTTCTATCCTGGCAGCCCCGCTTCCCTTCCAGCTCCCTGCCTGTGGCCCGGGAAAGCAGTCGAGTACGGCCCAAAGCCTTGGGGATCCTGCACCCGCGTGGGAGACCTGGAAGAGGCTCCTGGCTTCGGACCGGCATAGCATCGGCCGTTGCGCTCACTTGGGGAGAGAATCATCGGATGGAAGATCTTCCTCTCTGTCTCTCCTCTCTGTATATCCGCCTTTCCAATAAAAAAAATAATAATAAAAATAAATCTTTAAAAAAAAAGAAAGAAAATCTGCTCAAAGGATCATAGCCAAGGGGAACTTATTGTCTGCTTCTCTTAAAGAACGTGAAAGAACTATAAGTAAATGACATCTCTGAAAAAGCACAGGCATGGGCTTCCCCATAAACATCTCACAGATGCCCAAACACGGTCCCACGGGTTTTGATTTACCTAGTCATGTGGTAATGGTATTTACCTCCCACCCAGTGCAGGAGGGATCTTCTCCTTAGCTACTACATTTGATGCTTCCTCCCCAGCCCTCACATCATATAGCCACATTCATTCAAATGTAGGAAAAAGAATTCAGTTCTTCGTTCACACAAAGTGTGGTTCAAGGGCTCGACAGTAATACGTGGCGAGTGTCCCTGCACTGGACAGCCCAGGACATTGTGTCATTGTGGGAAGTCCCATTAGACATCAGTGCTGTCCTACTATCCGCTGGCCCTCTCATCCTGGAAGTGGGCAGTCAAAGCCCCTTCCCCTCTCTGGGGGCCTGACAGGAGTAAAGGAGATGCCTGGAAGCTCAAGCTCACTCCCACTCTCCAAGGGCATGGAGTTGGGAACCCCTGGGCTTCAGCTTCCAAATGGGAAAGCTGATGCAAACCAAGTGCTCACTGAGCAAGCACAATACTCACTTTCTACCAACCCATCAGTCCCTCATTTTCCCCAATCACATTCATGAAGGTGTAGGAAGAGCCCACGATCAACCTGGCAGTTAGGAGTACGGGCCCAATGCAGAATCTGACGGGCATCCCTGTGTCAACGTCTCTGCATAACTTTAATGACTGTCATATAATTGACAAGGAGTGACATATCCACAGCCCACCCTGATGCAACTGTGTCTGACTGTAAAGATAAGCCTGCCGTAGTGGCAGGAGCAAACAGAGATAAGCAGTTAACATGTCTTTTGGGAGACTCCCATCCCACGTCTCACAGCCTGAGTTTGATTCCTGATCGCACTCCAATTCCAGCTTCCTGCTAATGAGGACCCAGGGAGGCAGTAGTGACGGCTCCAGTAGCCAGGTCCCTGCCACCGATATGGCAGACCTGGACTGCATTCCTGATTCCTGGCTTCAGTCTGGTGCAGCCATGGCTGTTGCGGGCATTTGAGATGTGAGTCAGCAGATGAGAAATACCTCTGCTTGGTTCCTTCCCCCAACCTTCCTCTGCTTATGTGTTTCTCCCTTCCTTTCAAACAAAATTTCAAGATAAATAGACAAATAAGTGGCCCCAAACAGTGGCTCATATGACAAGCAGTGAAGCCAGGGTCTCCAGAGTGGCTGGGGAAGTCAGCAGGTAACCGTCTTCATTAGTCAGGAGCCCTTCTTGTTGCACCCACAGAATAAGGCCCAGGTTCAATTGTGCAGTTTTCTGAGTGTGCATCTCCCGGGAACCCACTGTGTACAAGGCAGGACCATAAGGCCCTGGCAGCTATGATCACAGCTAGCACCAAAGCCAGAGACAAACCCAGAGCATGCTGGGGACTCGGGGAGAGAATACTTTCACCTGGTGCAGGCAGGGAGGTCCCACAGAGGAAAACAGAGGCCAGCTGGCCTTGTGAAAGGGCAGGGTTCAGACAGGGATAGAGGGGGAGGGACAATACTCACTAGGGTGAAGAAATACAAGGTAGTAAAAATACAAGGTGTGTTCTGATCCCAGGGTGTGGAAAGACCCTTACTCTGCAAGTCGGGAGGCCTTGGGCAGCCAGAGAGGTGGCAGAAACACGCTAGGTTGAGGTGCTATAGGGAGGAGTAAGGAGCGTGAAAACATTGTTCAAGAAAGGTCTGTGGGAATGACCAATGCCTACCACCTGTCACCTTTTAGGACACATGCTAACGGCTGCTGGATGCTCCCGAGTTTTCAGGAAAAGCTTAAAATGGAGATTTATAATGTAAAAGTCCAAAATTGCCTACCAGTTCCTTTAAATACAGGTGTTGTGTAGAACAAATCCATCCACCCACAGCTGCCAGCTTCCCTTCCCCTGCAGCCAAATCACTGAGGGTGGTAGAACAAGGAAAGGAGAGCACAGTGGAGAGAACAGTCCCACCTACAGGCTTCAGGGGCACAAGGGGGAGGTGCAGCTGCGGGGGTAAGGCAAGAGGTCTGTAACACAAGTCATGGCCAGAGAAAACGCTAAAACAGTGAGAAATAGGAGGAAAGAGATTGAATTGGGGATTGAAGTGGGTATGAAAAAAGACCTGATTCTGAGCTTTGGGGGACTCTGCAGCAAGATCACCATGAGAGGGAC